CACTTGCTTAGAATGCTTGAGGCTCTGGATTTAATCCCCGGTGCCAAATACCTTTTTTTTTTTTTCTTTTTAAAGAGAGAGAGAGTGGAAGGGACAGCAAGATGGCTTAGATAAAGGTGCTTTGCCTCATAAAGTTGTTCTTTGGCCTCCGAAAGCACTCTGTGGTATGTGTGGGTACACACACACACACACACACACACACACACACACACACACAAATAAAAATTGAGAGACAGAGAGAAGGGAGGAACATTCTGAGACCTGTGATCCATTAGCATGACCCTATCATTTATTCTCTTGTGAGGAATCAGCTCAGATCATTTGCAGCAGGGGAGTCTTCATCCAACTCTTCTTATCTACAGTAGAGAGATTAAGAGATTTGGAAAGAGTCACGGGACAGGGCAGTCTTCTGTCACTGATTTCTCCTGGCCCCCAGCTTTGATGACTTGGGTAGCTCCTAATCTACAGGACAGGAAGGAGCCCTATCTCCATCGGACTGCAGGGCCTTGCTGCTGCCTTCTACGAAAGATCCAGTATTACAAAACCCCTAGCTTCACACGGCAAAGCGCTCCAAATAGCTCAGCAAGGTTTCTCGGCAGAGATTTAATGTACTTGGGCAACAGCCTGGAAGAAAAGAAAACTGGAGTCTGAAAAGTTGACCAAACGCAAATAATAGCCTAGATAAATTCAGAACGCTCCAGGACAGGCTCCTGCAGTCTTCTGCCCCTAAATCACAGTCCTGAGAAAGGGCTGCAGAATGTCACCACAGGGCCATACTGGCCAGGCCACAACTCATTTATCTGAACTCCCCATGCTCCATTTACCTTTTGATGGCCCCTTGCCTCTCCGGGCTATGCTTCCTTTTCCCTCTATTCCCTTGATTTTTTTTTTTTTTTTTCTTGAGGCTCACTCTTTGCCAACACAGTGATGTATTAGTCCTTCAAGTTCTGAGACCACAGGTCTCTGGAACAGGATGAGGTGTCCCAGACCATGGAATGAGAGTGGTCATAGCTCCAGGGGGGAGTCCTGCTCCTTTTGGGTGAGAGTGGGGAGCAAGGTCTCATGTAGCCCAGGCTGGCCTCAAGCCCACTATGTAATGACAATGACCTTAAATTTCTGATCCTCCCCTGGGTTCTGTCCCTAGGCTCTACACAAGACCTGGAGTTACAAAACCCAAGCCTACCTCAACAGAGCACACCAAAGACGACAGTGAGATTTGTCACCCACTTTCTGAGTGCTAGAGCTATAAGTGAGCTGGGACTATGGGTGTGCACACCCACACTCAGTTTAGGAGTGCTGGACATTGAACCCCGGGGCCTTGTGAAAGCTAGAAGCACAATCAGAGTGAAATCCCTCTGTATGAGGGAAGACTAGGGAGGTGTGAGTTAGGAAAGAACGGAAAAGGCTCTCTTCACCAGCATGGGGAGTGACTTGGTTTTTGGGTTGTTCCAGCAACAACACAAAATGAGCTAGTGTGAATTTCCACACCCCTACAAACCCATACAAACATGAGCAGAAAAAATATTTTCACAGGCATACTTGAGCTCATAAAATAAAAAAAAAAAAAATCCCTATGTGCAAGAAATAAAAAGACAGAACTTCTGCTAAGGGTAGGGGGCATCTCCTCACTTGGTGATGGTTCAAAAAGAAATTTCATGTGCCCTTCCCCGCCTACCAATCCCTGACCTGGGACCACATGCATCCCAAGATCAATGTGACCCAACACAAAGTTGTAAAAGTACTAAAAAATGGCATGACATTTTTTAAAACTCCATTCCTCAATCCTCCAGTGTGAACTTTGTTGAATGTTAGATGTACCTGATAGAGTCTGGAGCATCTATGCCCACATAAAAGCCACCAATGATGAATAGATGGCATTGGGGGGGGGGAGCTGAGCTGGAGATTCCAAGAGTACCAGAGACTCTCGGGTGATAGTTACTTTAACTTAAGCCTAGTGATACTTGTTTCTCTCCAGAGTTGGAGATGAAACTTCCTTTATCACTAGGATAAAGGAAAATCTTGTCACAGTACCAAACATAAGGATGGTCTACAAACTTACTCTGAGTATCTGTATATGGACCAGGGTGCTCCAGAAAAACAAGCCAGAGGGATTCCTGTGTGAGAGACTTACAATAAATTAGCCTGGAGGTCCAAGGAATCACTGATATTATAGCTCAAGCTAAGAGGCAGAAACCTTATTCTCTTTTGCCCTCCAACTGATTGGATTATGTCCACTCACTGTAGAGAGGAATGTCTAATTCAAGGCCTCTTGATTTAAATGCCAACCACACCTTTAAAAACCCCTTTACAGCAACATCTACAGAGGTATGTGACAAAAATCTGGGTAACAAGTTGGCAAAGTTAACAAGTAAAATTAATCATATACCTGACATTTAAATCATTTAAAAAAAAATAATAATAATCAAAGCTAGGATAACATTTGGTCCTGGGGCACCAGGAAGGATAACGAAAACTTCCTGCTGTGAATTTTCTTTGTCCCAAGAGAGAGCAAAGCTACATTATAAACTACCGTGAGGAAGGCTACAATACAAATAAGGGTGTTATTACCTTGTATTGATTACATTTCCTACCCTATGACCAAATGCCAAGCAAAGGCAACTTAAGGGTTGACTTTGGCTCACAGGAAAGGTGGGGGTACCTTGGTCTGTGGCTCAGACCAGAGCATGAAGAAAGCTAGTCAGTTCATGGCTGGCTTTTCCTACCCACACCCCCCACACCCCACCCTGCTCCTTTGATTCAGTCTGGGACTCCTGCCCATGGAGATGGTGCCACCACTTTAAGGGAACCCTCTGGATATATTCTCACAGGCACACCAAAGGTAGACCTCATTGATGCCCTAAGCATTTTGTAAGCCAATCAAGTTGACAATTGAAATTGGCCATCCTGTACCTCATGAATTTTTAAATGAAATGATTACTTAAGTAATTATAGCCTACATTTTAAAATGGCAGATCAGAGGAAAAAGATTTTTAAAAACATAAAAATAGATTGGTGGTTTAAGGTAAGTTTGTCTAACATGAGCTTTCTGGCCCGGCAGAGTCCCTCTGCCCTGAAGCCCCAAATAAACACTCAAATGCTATGTTAGTTATGAAACTGTTGGCCAGTGACTAGGGCTTCTTATTGGCTGGCTCTGTCTCAATTATTAATCCATTTCTATTAATCTAATTATTTCCACCACATGGTCTTACCTTACTGGAGAAGGGTTTGGTGCATTTTATCTTCCCAGTCTCCACAGGGTGACTCTTCTCTGCCTACCTTTCCCAGAATTCTCCTCTTTTCCTAGTCCTGCCTATCTTCCCCCCCCCCTTATTGTTCAACAGTGTTTTACTTGTTAGCCAATAAGAGAAACATATACACAGAAGGACTTCCCTCATCAAGATTGAAAAAAAAAAAAAAAGAAGAGGTTCTAGAGCTTTAGAAATAAAAGATATAATCAAATAATATTAAACAGAAACAGTATAGCTGGGTGATGTGCATATGCTTAGCACTCATGAAGCCCTGAGTTCACATCCTGATTCCACAAAAACAAAAGACCCAGCACAGTAGACAAAATGAAAAGACTTGATGAACTTAAATGAGCCTTTAAAATTATCTGAAAATATTATATAGATAGATAGATACAATTAAGATAGGGAAAGTTACAGAGAGAATACAAGCATGAGAAACAGATATGAAGCTCCCACACTGACTAATTGGAAGCTAGAGAAGAGGAGGAGGCCTTTGGAGACTGCCTGATAACAGTTTACAATGGTGACACAGCTGTGACGGTTACCTGTGATTGCCAATTTGATTTGGAACTGGAGAGTGACCTCTGAGCTTGCCTCCGAGGTGTCTGCAGAATTCTTGCCTGAGTGTGGGCACTGACAGTGTGGTGAGGAGAAAGAAACTGAACACCAACATCTATTTTTATGATTTATTTATGTATTTTTATGTTCTTTGGTGTTTCACCTCCACATATGTCTGTGGGAGGGTGTCAGAACCCCTGAACTTGGAGTTACAGACAGCTGTGAGCTGCCATGCAGGTGCTGGGAATTGAACCAGTGTCCTCTAGAAGATCAGCCAGTGCTCTTAACTGCTGAACCATCTCTCCAGCACAAGCACAAACATCTATCTCTCTAGATCTCTCAACTTCCTTACAGATGGTTGTGAGCCACCATGTGGGTGCTGGGAATTGAACTCAGGTCCTCTGGAAAAGCAGCCAGTGCTTTTAACCACTGAACCATCTCTACAGAGCTCTCTCTCTCTCTCTTTCTCTCTCTCTGTCTCTGTCTCTCTCTCTTTCCCTCCCTCCCTCCTTCTCTCCTGACTGCAGACATGGTGTGACTAGCCATTGGATGCTCCCACCATCAATTTTTCCCTCAAACTGTGAGCCACTATAAATCCTTCTTTCTTCCTTGCCTCTCCTTTGTTAAGTACCATGTTACAACAGCAGAAAGAGCAGCCAAAGCAGGGGCATCTTCAAACTGGAGAAATGTGGAATCTGGAGCATGTAGGAAGCTACATGTGGGCTCATTTTAGAAACTGCAAAATACAAGCTATCAAAAAAAAAAAAAAAACTAATAGTAATGTAAGAAAGAGAAACCATCACCACCAACAATAAAAGTGAACAGCAGACTTACCACTATCGAAGACCATCCAACAATGTCATTGTGATGAAAAACATCACCCATCCTTGTGAAATGATTAACCAAGGTCAAGTATAAATCAGGAGTTTTTTTTTATAAACACCCCACCTTGAGAAGAAGACAAGACTCTATCACTTAAAGAAGGAAATTAGTCTGGCAGGGATCAGATGGGAGAGTCATTGATAAAAGAAGAAATGGAACACACAGTCACTCTTAACAAGAAACTGTAAAATAGCAATAATTACAACATCTGGTTTGGGAACATTTAAATACAGAGTGAACATCAAATGCTAAATATTAATAACATGGAGTTGGGAGTCATTAGAATAAGAACAACTTAGCATGTACAGAGTTTGAGTCATTGGAAAATTATTGCAGTAATATGCATGAATTACAAATACTTGCATCAGCTCCCGTGTTAATACTCTTCCTTCTTGTAACAGAATCTGGGATTTTCCACAAGTCAGCAATGTGCTGTCAATGAGACAGCATGGAAGGTATCAGTGTCCTGTGACCCTGGCAGGTGAAAGGAACACAAGCTGCCCAGTGAGCTTCTGAGAAGCATGGTTTGTCCTTGTTTGTTTCCACTGGGGGCATAAAGACAAAATGCCAGGAGGAGCAGTGGGCATCTTATAATCAGGAAGAGGAGGGGCACTACTCAGTATTAAGGAGGAAAGGATAAACGAATCAGAGTGCACACAAAGACTTGTACTAACTCTGGTCTGCTGTTGTTTGTTTTTTGTTTTGTTTTACTTTTTACTCTTCGGAAGGCCCGACACCCAGCTCCCAAATAATCACACAGAGACTTATTCTTATAAATTCCTGGCCTTAACTTAGCTTGTTTCTAGCCAGCTTTTCTTAACTTAAATTAGCCGGTCTACCTTTTGTCTCTGGGCTTTTGCTTTTCTCTATTTTGGTTTATCTTTTCTTTCCTTCTAATTCTATGTCTGACTGTGTGGCTGGGTGGCTGTTCCCCAGCATATCCCTCTCCTTCTCCTGTTCTCACTCATTGATCTTCTCCTCCAAGATGTCTCCTTCCATTTATTCTCTTGGCCTGCCAGGCCTGCCTACCCTTTCTCCTGTCTAGTGCCCATTCAGCTCTTTATTAGACCAACCAGGTGTTTTAGACACAGCTTCAGAGTTAAACAAATGCGACATAAAAGAATACAGCACATCTTTGCATCATTAAATAAATATTTCGCAGCATTAAAAATGTTAACACACCTTCAAACTACTACTCCACCATAGTGGTCACCTAACTCAGGCCTACTAACTTCAAATCGATTACCAGGTGCTTCTCAAATTCATTTCTACTGTGTACAGCTAAATGCAATTCTAAAGTGCAGTGTGAAGAAGTAAAACTAAATATTTGACCTTTGTCTCTGACTCCTGGCACACAGCTGAGTGGAATGTAGCATGTGACAATGAGAGAGCTGGTGTCAAGGGTCCCTGGATAGCTTCAGATGAATGCTGGTCACCTGAAATAAGAAAGCTGCATCCATCTCCCTGATGTTTACATTCCTAACTCGAGAAAACACAGAGGGCTTGGTTCTACTATCAAGGGCCAAAATGTTCATCAGTCCTACCTACAAAATGAAAGTCATTAAGAAACCAAGGACTTAAGCAAAGGGGCCCAGGGTATTTCAGAATTGGTGCGTGCATCTATATACTAGGTTGCTATAAACCCAGGAGACCTAAGACAGGCGTCAAGAGGCCAGGGCAGGAAAAGGAATGGACAAGGAATGGACGGGAGGCATAACAGGAGCCCAAAGGATGGAAGCCAGCTCTAAAGAGAGCTTCCAAAAGCCTTCTTGCCTCAGACATTCCACTTGGCAACAGTCATTGCCTTGGCCCTGGGCCTGGAGGGAGGTGGCCACAGGGCAGCCTGTGTCTATGCTGCTAAGGGGAAGGGGTGGGGTGGGGTGAAGAGGCCACTGGGCCAGCCCCACAAACCAGACTCCTCCCATACACGTGCTTTTGAAAAACAGAATGAGAAACAGGTTCTCAGGTGGAGGAGGGGCAGGGTCCTGTCCTGAGGACCCTCCAGTGCCATGAAATGACGCGGACTCAACCTTTTCAGAGTCTCCAGACCAAATGGGACAGCCATTCTTTCTTGTCTTCAAACGGAAGAGGTATGGCTCCTGGGGCATCGAGTTTGCCCTCTCAGCTACACAGACCAAGGAATGATGACAATGGCAGGCTTAGGAATGTGCTTATTTCTGTAAGGGACCGAGATACTGAGCAGCTGCCAACAGGCTCTCAGGGAACATTCCCACGCCTGGCTCTGGGACCGTATCTCTCCATCATGATGCCTGCCCATTGGAATGAATCTGAACCTGAACTTACTTCTGACCCAGGAATGCTGGCCCCTTAGTCACATCCCACCTTCCCTCCCAATTTGTTTCTGTTCTTCTTCCCACCCTGAGTGACCATCCCCCACCTGCTATTTCCCAAGCTGGCCCTGGGAACACCATGCCAATGGCCCACTGGTGATCTTGTTTTACATGATACATTTCCAAAAAAGACCAAAAAGTTCTTTCCAGGAAAATGCCATTTTAAAAATTCAGCCCCAGACTCCGTGGCAACAGAAGGAAAACAAAGGACTTGGCAGAAGGGGTTTCTGAGTCCGGACTTTCTCTCTAAAATACCTTTTGCAAACTGTGTGCAGTGGGACCGATGCCAGGGGTCAGTTCTGGAACACTCAGGCAATCCCAGACACCAACTGTTGCTGTCTACACAGTGGCCTCTCCTCAGCTAGAATACCCTGTGATGCTCCCTCGGGCTTAATCCAGGAGCCCCTAAAAGAGTCCACAAAGGAAGCAGCAATCACTGAAGGGTCTCCTTGGTTTCTCTCTTACCACCACCACAAAGCTGTGGGCCAGAAGGTCATACTGTGTTTAGTAGAGAGCGGCTCTTCTCATTATTCAAGTGAAGAGAGACAAGTTTCCCCACCCCCATTTCCAAGCATGCAAGGAGGTGCTAGGGTAGGTAGACTCTAAGCAGTGTGATTTGTTCTCTTAAGGAAGAAAAGTGGTCTTATAAGTGACAGTGGTGTGACTGGGACAATATATGAGGCCACTGGCAGTGGATCTAACACTAATGCACAAACTGACTTAGTGGAGCCCATTCTATATGGAGAGATACCTTGCTCAACCTAGACACAGGGATGTGGGGTGGAGAGGTGCCTTGGTCCTGCCTCAATGAGATGATGGGACAGACTTCCTAGAAGAGACCTTACCCTCTCTGAGGAATAGATGGGAGGAGGAAGGGGAGTAGGGAGAGCTGGAGAAGAGGAGGGAGGGGGAACTGGGATTGGAATGTAAAAAATTAATTAAAAAAAGGAAAAGAGAAAAGTAGACACTACTACATACACCACACACACACACACACACACACACACACACACACACACACACAGGGAAGGCCCTGTAAGGATGCAGAAGAGTGGACTTCTGGAAACCTAGAAGACTGGCTTCAGAAGAAGCCAACTCTGCCAGCAATTTATCTCAGACTTCCAAAAAGTCCTGTTGTTTGAGGTACCCAGACTGTGGTATTTTGTTATGGCAACCCTAGAAAACTAATGCAACACCCATAATCAATATGGTCACTATTACCATCTCACAGGGGACAACCAGTCTCAACATGGAACTTGGCAATGGAAGTAAGATTTGAGACACGACAATATGATGTCATAGCATGAACACTTATGACTGAGTCCAACACTTCTCCGTGCTCTGCCATGTATGTACATGTTCCACCTTGATGTGTAACAAAATTCCCCACCACCTTGGGGCTTAAAGAAACTGCATCTTTATTGCTCATGTCAGCAGTTAGGCAAGGTTTGCTGGGAACAGCTTGTCCCTGCACCATCTCTCAGCTGGAGAAACAGCTTGAAGGTTTTGCCAAAGGTCTCATTCAGTCCTCTGGTAACTGACACCAGCTGTCACCAAGGAACTTAGCTGGGGCTGTTGCCCAAAGCTTCATGGGGTCTCTCTGTGATAGCCAAAGCCTAATTCTAACATGGCGGTCGGTTCACCTGAGAGCGGCCAGGGCAGAACCTGTCTCACCTTTCCCAGCGGAAGATGCTGAACGTACCTTTCCTGTGCTGCCTTTCAAGAGAAGCAAATCACTGTGGTTGTTCTACATTGGAAGGGTGAACACTTAATGCTACCTTTTGATAGAAAGAACATCATGGAATTGTCTAAAAAGGTTTCAAAGCCACCACAGTGCCTGGGACAGGGGCATGGTTGTATATATTTATCAGTAGGAAGCACAATAAAGATCATCACACAGGAAGCCGAACCTTTGAACACAGGACAGGGTGGAGGTCTGTAAGACAATACCGCTGTCAGTCAGAAACAGCATCAGGACACTTTTCTCAGACACTGGCTTCCCTCGATGATGTCCCGGATGCTACTTTGTCCTGTATCAGAGCTACTTACTTAAAACAGCAACAATGCCTTCAGCATGCATCACCCCCCACTGATGATGCTTGTGAAACTCACTTCGACTCTATGAAGGAAGTAATACTCTAAACCCATTTTGGACATGTACAGATGCTCCCAGGGTAGATAGCTCTCCCCCAAAGTTAATAAGCTAGAACTACATATGCTGTGCTCTGGCCAGCTTTGTTTATATCTGCCCAGCCCATCTTGGGCAGTTTGATGTGCCTGGCCCAGTTAGAAAGTAACCAAGGAAGAGCGCACCACAGATGGAGGGAGGGGAAGGCCCTGGAGTCAGACCAACCTATATCCAAATCCCAGCTCCACCATCCATCGCTCATATTTGAAAAAATAATTAGAGGATTCTCAGTGAGTTAATACCTGTACTAGGTTTGGCACAGGGCCCAGCATACAGTAGATGCTTAATAAATACTAGTTAACTTTGCTGTTGTTATCATCAATAATATTTGTGAAAGATCCACTAGAGAGTCTAGCATATGGTAGGCATTCAAAAAAAAAATGATAGCTGTTAATCTCATTGTTTAAGTCCTGGAAAAGCTACAGGAATTCAGAGAAGGGCCAGATAACAAGGTAGTGAAGACAGAAAACAGGCGGCCCAAGCAATTGTGCAAATCTGCAGATCTCAGGCTAATCCTAGAGCTTGGGTATGACTGGCCTTGATTAAGTGGAAATGCCTCCCAACAGAACTCTCATCCTCGTCTGCCTCAATGAGGAGATGACAAGAGCTTCCGGAGCATAGGGGCCTCTGGGGAAAGGAATTTCAAGAGAGAAAATCAGAAACACCCTGTCTGTGTGCCTGCCCAGCATCTCCTGCCATGGCAACACAAGTCTACGAGTCAACAGCCTGGGTTCCTCTCATCTTGTTGTCCTTTGGGTCAATAGCAAACTTGGAGAATATCAATTTGTAGAAAGAGAGTAAGATGGTTGGAAGTAGGCTGGGCTTTCCAGTTCCAAACCCACCCAGCCCAGGTCAAGCTGCTGGCAAAGCAGTGAACAGAAGGAGAGGGGATGTGGTCCGGTGATGGAGTACTGGCTCAGCATGAGCAAAGATGTGGGTTTCACCCCCAGCAGTACAAAACTAAGCAATAAATAATAATAGGGATGGGACAATGACTCAGTGGGTAAAGTGCTTATGTCATAAACATGCCAGGTATGGCAGCGGGTATTTAAAATCCCAGTGCTGGGAGGTGGCGGCAGGAAGGTTCCTGGGGCCCACTAGCCAGTCACTCTAGTCAGTTGGTGAGAGACCCTGTCTCAGCAAATGAGGTGAAGGGCTAGAATGATGGCTCTTGCAGAAGATCAACATTCAGTTCCCAGAGCTCACATGGTAGCTCTGAGCCATCCAGCAAGCCTGTCGTGCTTCTACACCTGTGCAGACAAAACACTCACACACACACAAAGTAAGGATGAATAAGTTCTGTAGTGGGATATTCACTTTATCTCCTTCTGTGGCCCTGACCACGCCCATTGGGGGGTGGAGCCAGGGGCGGAAGTGACCTGTGAAAGGAGGTTTGAGGAGGAGCCGGGAACGCTCTCTTGCTAGTAGGTCGTGGAGAGGAGAGATCTGTTGGAGCCTGCTGGTGTTAATCTATCTAGGTTGTAAGTTATTTCTCCCTGAATAAACATCTTTTCGGCCTATTTTGTTTATCCTGATCCTTATTTAACTGCAATATCTGGTGTCAGAAGTGGGATCAGGATTTTCACGGGACCTGGGTTTCACCTAAGCGGCAGACGCCATTCCCCATCGGGCAGGGTCCCTTGCCTAACCAGGTGGACTCATCACAGCTTTGGGACATCTGCCTCTGCCCTACAACTCCTTTGCCTCCACAGCAGCCCTGAGAAGGCACTCACTGCTTCTCATTTTTTGCCCATTTCCCCACTTTGCATTGGCGCAGAGCCGCTTGGCACCTGCCCTGCTTGTGCGTTTCCCACGGTTAGCCCTGTGGTCCCAGCAATTCCACAAGGCTCCTTTGACTCATTTGTCTAACAAAATTTAGCTTGCCATAGTTTGTTAAGAGCTATTCTACAGGGACCAGGATCAGAAGGATCGCCTGCTGCCAGACGTTATTTGGCGGTACACTTCCAGACACTATTTGGTAGTTACCCCTGAATAAACATCTATTTGCTCTATTTGTTTATCCTGATCCTTATTTAACTGCAATAAAGTTCTTTTAAAAAAAAAAAAGTGGAGAGTGATAGAGGGAAAAACTCAATGTACATACACACAACAACGGACAGCAACTACCAGATTTTTTAAGAGAGCAGCCAATCCCACCCCCCCACCTCCACACATACACAGAGGAGTACTTGGGAGCACACATGTGCACACACACACACACACACACACACAGAGAGAGAGAGAGAGAGAGAATCATCAATACTCACAGCTTCTGTGTGAGCCAACGGAAGTTCAAAAGGTATAATGTCTGGGCACACAGTGATTTCGAATGCCACTAGCTCAGCTAGAAGTACTTGACTCCTGGATTCCTCCTGTTTTTCCTTCAAGCCAGATGAGCAACAAGATGACAGGTATTTTCCCCAGACCACACTCATTTCCCTCTCCCATAGATTCGGTAACCCCTGGAATGACCTCTAAGAATCCACACATTTTTGCTCAGGTTGCCTTTGAGTCAACGCATGCCTCCCAGCTCAATGTGGGCTCATTCTGCTATAATCAGAACCTCTGCCTGGGGTTCAACTCATCCACTTTGCCAGGGACTCAGATCTTCTCTGAATGTGTCAGCTATCTCTGTGAAAGATCCCCCAATCCTGATGACTTATAACGACAAATATTTCCACAGGATGTGGTAGGGCATACCTGTAATCCTAGCACTAAGGCAAGATTACTATGAGTTTAGGGTCAATCCTGGATACAGAATGAGTTCAAGGCCAACGAGATACAGAGTAAGATTCCAAATCAAGAAAACAACAACAAAACTGAACATTCTTTTTTACAGCTACAATGTGGGTAGGGTTGAGGAGCTCTGTCTTAAACAGTGGGTTGGTGTGGTCAATTCTTTATATTTCTTTTCTGGGACCAGAAGCCACCTGGGACACATTCCTCATACTCTGGATGGGAAAAGATCAAGAAGGGGCAGATGGGAACGTCTCCTGACTCTCAAGATCTCAGCTCAGAATTGGCTATTGTCAAGTCCACTCAAAATCTGTCAAAGCAAACAAAAGCCACAAGTAAAGAGGTAGAAATATTCTAGTAGGGTGTGACAAGTGACATGGCAAGGAGTATGGGCATATAACTCTAACTGTACTACAGAGAGGAAGGAATAATCCATCTTTTTGTTTGTTTGTTTTGTTTTTT